ATATATATATAGTTATGTATGTATGTATGTATGTATATATAGATAAAATTAAAATTAGATGATTACTGATATAGAATTGTTTTTAGGTTGGGCAGTGAACATGAATTGCTTTAAAACTTTATTTCTGCAGTAGCACATCTTACAGAAGTTATTAAAAATATTTTATCTTACCAGGGGCACAGGGAGCCAGAACTGGTGCTCCCTCAAAAAAATAGGTGCATGACGGCCGTGATCATATCCTGCTGCCCATATTCATCCAAAATAATTTAGCATTCTTTAAGTTCAGTCTGACTGTACCTAGAGCCTGTGCAGTGCTGTGTGACTCACTGACTGACCTGTACAGCAGGTAGTGCTGCATAGCGCTGAGAGGCTCATTAATCAGGCACACCGTCCCGTCTAATAGCACCCGTTTTGTTGCATGTTCCGATAAGGCCACACTTTAAATAGATGTGAATCAGTGGTGACGGGCTAATGGCTGTCACCTCTGTGAAGATGAGTACCATGAAATATTCATGGTTGTCACTCATCTGCTGCAGGGGACAGTTGCAGCCCTGTTTGTGTGTGTGAGGGTCTTCATTCGGGTCCTGTAGTGAATGACAAGCGTCTCCTCCGTGCAGACATTGCACTGTGAGTCCACAAGAGGACATGCTTTTCTCTGATTGTTTTCAGGTGTTGATGACTGAGGCCACTAAATTCATTCTCAATCAGTTTATTCTGCCCTCACTTAACAACCACATTTATGTACCATGAATTAATAACTGTACCAGTGTAATATACAAAATGGTTGTTTTATGTAGTGTAATTTTTTTTGTATAATTATTCTATTATTATAGTATTTAATAATCTTTTGATTAAGCTTTTTTATGCTTTCCTTTTATTTTTTGCTTTGTGCTTTTCTCATTTTTAGAATTTTTTGTTTGTTTTTATGTTTAATTGTTTGACCTAATATTTACATTTGATTTGATTTCTGCTCTATTTCAGTTATCTAAAATGATTTTTAATCGTTTTAATTTTAGTTAACAACAGGTATGCATTTTGTTTGCTATATAAAATGTATAGGACTTTCTTTAAAAATAAATAATAATAAAATAAGTAAATAATAGTAATAATTAAATAATAAAAGTAATATTATAATAAAATAAATACAATTATATATTTTTATATTTTAAGTTTTCATTTAAATTTTTGTTTAAGTTTTCATAATTGTGATGTGATTTTGTTGAAGTTTTTTTTAATGTTTCACCTAATATTTAAATTTTATTATATCTTAAAATATATAAAATGTAGATTAATACTAATATTAATATGTATTAATAATAATAAATGTAATATGTAAAAGTATATATATATAAAAATGTGTCTATTTTATTATATAATGTGTGGATTTGATAAAAAAAACATTATCTTTTATATTATTTAACACCCCATCAATGTACCACTTTTACAAAAAAAAATAAAAATCTGAAATGCATAGAATATGTTGATATTTGTAAAGAAAAGTGTGATTTTTTTTTACCAGCATTTAAAACCTAACAACCTGTAACTGTATAAAAACATTTTAAACACTTATTTTAAATATTGAATTGTCTAATTTACAACTAATTTGAGTAATCACAGAAATTCTTATACAACAATAGTAAAATTCAGATAGATTACAGTAACGTTGATAAAAAAATGTAGTGACTTGTTGCTGTGTTCAGAAACAGCCTTTAGAGGGAGTGAGAGAGTCAGGAGTGATTTTCTGACATGTTGTTAGATGCTAATTGATGTGGGGTGACAGTGGCCCACGTCCGACTTCACACACGCCCTGTGCACCAGCGCTCAGATGAATGGTCCTCGTGCGGATCCGTGCCACCGAGATACGGCGTTACGCAAGTAGGCCCAGAGCAAGGTTTCTCTGGCTGTGAGTGGGTGGCAGCCATTCTTGTAGCTGCCCCAGGAATCAGGCTATGGAATCATGCGCTCACCAAATCGCTCTCTGTGGCTGCTCGCATCGTGCTGTTCAAAGATGTCACAGTAAATAAATTAATTAGTATATGGACACAGTCAACAGAGAGGCTTCGCTCACAGCCAATGCTGTGGCAGAACATGACAAGTCTTCAGAAAGAGATGTTAGCATTGTGGGAGTCTGTTTGAAAAGATTATGTAATGGATTCATGGGATGTGTCACGTGAAAATATGAAAGAGCTCATGAAATGGTTTTCTTTTCTGTAGAGCGCAACAGTGGCTGTCCACTTTTTCAGTTGCATTGGTTCCAGAAGCATTTTTTGGTTAAAGAGTTAAGCAGTGAACCAAACCAACCATCTACAAGGAGAATCACATTACAAACACTGAAGCAAAAAGTATTTGAATATCAGAAAATCAAAAAGACAAGGTTGCAAAATTGTGTACTCAATGCTTTTAATGAGATAAATAAGTAAAATCCCATGAAGCATTGAAAATGATGTAATCAAATTGAAAATTGAAAAAGGAGAAATATACAACTGTTGATTGTGTATATAGAAACAACATATTTTAAGTTTATTGCAAAATATGCACATATACAAACATTTAATTAGTAGTTTCAATTCTCTGATTGGTGAAAAAATGAATTTTAGTTATCTATTTTGTTTGCTATATAAAATAATATAATATTAAAATAAATAATTAATTTTATTTATTTAATTAATAAATATTGTTATTCTTTAATTTTAGTTTAAGTTTTCATATTTTTGTTATGAGCGTTTGTCATTTTTATTAGTTGTTTTAAATGTTTCACCTAATATTCATATTATATTTTCACTTTATTTCAACTAACAAAAATGAATTTGAATAGTTTTAGTTTTAATTTGAGTTAAAAACAGTTATCTGTTTCATTTGGTATGTAAAATATACATAGGGCTTCCTTTAAAGAATAATCTATTAATAATAATTAAAAATAAATGGAAAAATATTGATTTTGACTAAAGATGATGTAAACTAAAGATGTTAATTGTGTATATAGAAACTTATGTTTAATACAAAATATGCACATATAAACAAACATTTCATTAGTGGTATAAATTATCTGATTTAGTTATGGGAAATGTAGTTTTTCATTAGGAATTATTCTGCTATACATAATAAAAATAAAAAAAAAAGGTAAAATAATTGTGGACTGACGACTTTAACAGAAGCATATACCATTGATTAACAACCTCGTAGCTCTGTCTTTAAAGGTTCATAAATTATCGTTAAAAATCAATTATGGAGGACATGGATGGGATTTTTACATCTGGAATTGATATGAAAGGTTACTTCCTTCTCTAAAATAGGTTTTAGTTGCTGTTGCTAGTCACAGGTAGGAAAGGACAGACCACACATTTTAAAGTTTTAAAAGTTAGTTTTGTCGACTGTTAGGAGAGCACTTTTAGCCTCAAATCTAAAATTAAAAGTGAACACAAATTTGAACCTCTATAAACTGCTGGAAAGAATACTGACACTAATAAGGCACTAACAAAGTTCTAAAAAAAAAAATTTTTTGTACATAATCACTATTCAAACAAATCACTTAGTTTGGATTTTTTGACTTTTTCGCACTTTTATGTCACAAAAAGTAAAGTAGAGCTGCAACAGGACAGGCTTTGTTAGCAGATTGGACAGTTTTCGCTGCCATTTTGCTGTAGGTGGAGAATTAATTTCCATATATTTGTGGTGTGCAGCACATCCATCTATCTATGTCTTTCAACTGCCACATTTGACTGTATTTTCTATCCATAATTCAGTGATAATATATCTCAGGTACGGCGTTCTCAGGATCAGGGTATAACCCGTAGCTGGTGTCTTCAGTGAAAATCATCCCGTGTCATTTATTACCAGAGCAGCTGGAACCTGACAGTGATGTGACGTTGATAGAAGCAGACATATCTCATCCTTCTTCTCTTTAGCTTTGCCGTTTTGCAGTGCAGTCGTGGCGTTCGCGGGGCAGTTTTGGGATGGAGCAGGATGCCAGCGGAGTCAGTTGAGGTTCGGGTCGGTCGGGCTGCCGGCGGGGTGCTGTCAGGTTGGGCTGTGATCTATTAGCGCACCATTAGGACAGAACGGACCGCACACCTGCTGCTCTCCTCCCCGTTTCCTCCCTCACCTGCCCCATCACACAGCTGGGCCGGTTTCTGCTGCGCTGACATATGGCAAACCCCCCTACAGCGCAGCATGAGTGTGTTTGCCAAGCCTGAGCCTTGCTCAGAATTATGGGGATACACACAAAAAATGTTCTTGGGATCAAAACAGCTAGACGCTAAATGCTAAATGCTAAATGCTGAAATCCTGAGACAGGTCCCAAAGTTGAAAATTTTAAAGGTGAAACCAACACATAATCACTGTAGGACGCCCCCTATCTGCTATTGGTTAGACAAAGAGATAGTCCCGCCTCAAATGCTTTCTGTTTTAAATACGGTGTACCTTTTATAAAGTGCAACAGTCGGGTTCCGGAAGAAAAAAAATCTATAGAAGCCCATTTTCACTATGGAAAATACAAACCCGATTCCAAAAAAGTTGGGACACTGTACAAATTGTGAATAAAAACAGAATGCAATTGATATTGCTCCACTATTTTTCGCCGCAGCATTGGAGGTTGACCTAATAAGTTGCAAATTGGTCCTCCAGCTGTTCCTTATATGTACATTTAACTTTTCCGGCCTCTTATTGCTACCTGTCCCAACTTTTTTGGAATGTGTAGCTCTCATGAAATCCAAAATGAGCCAATATTTGGCATGACATTTCAAAATGTCTCCCTTTCAACATTTGATATGTTATCTATATTCTATTGTGAATAAAATATAAGTTTATGAGATTTGTAAATTATTCCATTCCTTTTTTACTCACAATTTGTACAGTGTCCCAACTTTTTTGGAATTGGGTTTGTAAATAAATAAACAAACAAATAAAGTAATTCTCACTAATTCTGTGGTAATTTTGAGTTTATATGTCACAATTCTCACTTTTTTCTGAGAATAAAAAAATGACAAAAAAACAAAAAGTCAGAATTGTGAGATAAAAGAAGTCACAATTACCTTTTATTTTATTTTTTATTCCGTGGTCAAAACAAAACAAAACAGATTTTTTTTCAAATCAAACCAATCAAAAACAGAATTGAGAAATGTACATTTAAAATTCAAGATGTACGAATACGAGATGTAAACTGACTGTAAAAATATATCTTGCAATTATTATTTTTTTCTTTCTCAGAATGGAGAGAAAAAAATTGCAATTACTTTTTTTTATTTAATGGCAGAAACAGACTTTGAAAAAAAAATCTAATTTATTGTGTTCATAATGATTTTTTAATCTGCTCATGAATTCTTTAAGCATCTTAAAAAAACAAAGAAACAAAATTAAGAAATTACTTAAGGAAGAAATATATATCAATAATTGTTTCTATATGATATATAAGATATAATTAATATCTTTCAGTTGTTTTAATATAGTTGTTTTAATGTTTTAATATATTTGTTATCAGTTGGTTTATATGTATCTATTGTTTTCATTTTGGTTATGTAATTTGTAGTGCTTCATGGGACTGTAGTTCTTTCCCTCATTAATGTACACACCTTTGTCTTTTTGCCTGATTTGCCTGATCTTCTTTGCTTCAAATCAATGTTTGTAGTGTTGAGATTCTCCTTGTAGCTGGTTGGTTTGGTTCATGGCTTATAACTTTTTAACAAATACTTTTTTAGTATCCATATGGTAAAAATGAATGTAAAAAATGCTTCCAGAACTAAGGCAGCGGAAAACGTTGAACACTTTTGAGCTCTATATCTAGTGACTGCTTGTCTCTACTGAGGCTTCTCTCCTCTGAGAAGTTGATTGTTGACCCGTAGCGCGTCCATCTTCACCTGGGCTCTAACTCTCTGTGTTTTGTTCAATGACTCTTCTGTGATGTTCCAGATAACATTGAACCAGGAAATTGCTGCCCAACTGAACTCATTCCACAGGCAGCCACTCACCTGTGTCCCACAGTTCCTGATGCATACTGTAGATGTGTGTCTAATGGGTTCAGTTTCATGAAGTTAGCATGATGGTGACAGGCCATGTTCTCTGGCTGCCTTAATATATCCAAGAGTATATTAGATAATTTCCAATGAGCAGATGTGACCTTACAAGCTGTGGCAGTGAATTATGAGTTAGAGGAAAACAAAAGCACAAATAAGATATTTGTAATATTCTAGACAGCTCAGCATTTAGGGAGAACTAATGGAGACTTTTGCATAAAGGTGAATGTAATTTCTGTGCCACCAGCAGTACCAAACCAAACCAGATCAAGTGTGTGTTTTTGTGTGTGTGTGTGTGTGTGTGTGTGTGTGTGTGTGTGTGTGTGTCTGTATATATGTATATATATATATATATATATATATATATATAAAGCATTGTGCATATTAACAAATATATAAACAAACATGAATGTATAAATATAGGCTATACTGTACTTCATCTGTGTTTATTATTTTTATAATTTAAAATAATATTTATTATTTATTATAATTTTATTACGTGGAAAAGTAACATCCCATAACATATAGTGCATAATATATTTTCAAATTCATCATTGCTTTTACAAACATATATCCAAACAACATTTTACAAATCAAGAAAAAATACAAAAATCAAGAGAAAATATATAAATATATAAGGTAATAACTAAAAATAAAAACATGCATTAAATAAAAGTTTAAAGATTTGAAATATAAATGTTACATTATAAAGCATAAACACAGTTTGAAAGCAGCAGAACAGTTCAGTGATAGTATTACATTTAATACTTACTTTACTTGTGTTACATGAAAGATTTTAATTAGATCGCCAATTTAAAAATGATATTTGCATTCCCTTTCATTATGCACATGCATTTGAATGCTGTAATCCATCTCTCTATATTTTATTCCTCTTTTGGAGGAACACAATAGTGTATTTTGTAAGGTATTTGCTGCAAAGAAGTTTAACCTGTTTTTCTTTACCTCCACGTTCCAAACCTAAAACTGTGAAAAAGATCCCTTATCTGAACTATGGCACCTGCATTTGTTTTGTTCTCCTATGCAATTTTAGGAGAAACATCTTAGACAAAGTGCATACTTTATAGTGACAGTTAGTTTGTGTTAAACATGCTTCTTCTGGTTTTGTGGATATGGAGGCATTTGTCTTTAGCAGACAAATACTCTGATATTACTGTAAGCCTAATCATTTACATTTAGTCAAAACTAGTCTTAAAACAACTGTCTCACATTCTATGCAAACCGACACATTGTTAATGGTGTGCACCGAGTTTATCCTTAAATATATATCTGCACTGCCTGCATAGCAGATAATTGTTCACATAAAAGGGCATATGCGTTAATAAACCGTGATCTTGCATGCTTTCTAGTAAGTCATGAAGGATTCATTGGATGTTATGCATTTTTTATGCACCGATACTTCCTGTAATTTCATTGCAGCTTGCCGGAGATCTATTTTAAAGACATTGAAAGATCATATTTAGCTTGCTTTGCTCTAACAGAAAGCATAACGTAGACATCTATCATTTTTAAAACTATAAAGACAAAACGCACCGATGCATTTTAAGGCAGAGCGCACAATATTGTCTGTGTGAATCAGATGCTGTATTGTAATAAATCTGCTTTCTTCTCTGCATCTGAAAAGCTGAGCTGTGCATAAAAATGGAAAGAGTGTCCCATAATGCAGCCAGGTCATGTGACATCAGCCAAGTGACAAGGCCACCCCTGAAACATTTTAGCTGCTTCCCATAGGGCTCAGTGTCTGATCCTCTCTTGCCCCGCTCATTTATCACCCCAGACTGTAGGTAATCGCCTCCTTCGCAGCCCTGCTCCTAATATCCCGATTGTATCTCCCTCTGCATAGCGCTGGTGAACACAGGAGAGACACCCACGCTGCTAAACAAGCCCTGTGCAATTTCAAGGCAAACCTGCGCTGAGATCTTTTCCTCCATCTGCTTTCTGCGTTAAGAAGAATTCCCGTGGGATGCAGCCCCATACCGAGGCTTAAATAAACACATTACACACACAAGTTTGCAATTATCTTCTCCCTTCACCCCAAGCACACACACCATTGCTTTATTATTTCAAGGAGTCTCGTCTCAACGGGGCTTGATGTTTTAATAGCGGAGGTTTCCGACCGATTTAGCGCAGAGCCCTGCAGCTTGCCGTATTGACCCCACGCTCTTTGCGCTGACCTTTATCTCTGCTCTCCCGCAGGTTCACCCTTTGTTGATGCGCGAGCAGCGCTCGGAGTCGCACAGGAACAAGCTGCTGCGACGGACGGTCAGTGTGCCTGTGGAGGGGAGGCACCATCCTGAAATGGGTGAGTCACACACGTGCCGCCCTGCTGCTTCAATGCCATCACTACGTGAATCCCTTCCTAAAGGGTTAAAATTATATAAAAATTACAATGTACAATAGACTACTTAAAGGGTTAGTTCACCCAAAAATGAAAATTATGTTAATAATTACTCGTTCCAAACCCATAAGACCTTTGTTCAACTTTGGAACACTTTTGATGAAATCTGAGAGCTTTCTGACCCTCCATCAGTGGTGGACGAAGTACACAAATCAAGTACTTGAGTAAAAGTACAGATCTGTATAATAAAATATTACTCCAGTAAAAGTAAAAGTACTCAGTTTTCAATTTTACTCGAGTGAAAGTACAAAAGTTCTTGATTTTTTATGTACTTAAGTAAAAAGTACCAATTGATGAATGTTTATTTTGCAGTTTTATATAGGCTACTTTTATCATTTAATTTTATATTAGCATATATTTTTTTATAATCCTACTGCTCAAAATACCTGGGATTTTCCCATAATAACCAATAAGGAAATAATGAATATAATAAGGAAAATATAATTAGATTGTCATTTTCATCATCAAGTGAGGGCATCACTTCCCACTTTGATAATTACTGTAGTTACCATGTTCTGAACATCACATCCTTTCTTTTTCCCTCAGATGTAATCTATCTAGGTGGTTGAATAAAAATATTTGGCAGCGGAGAAGATGAACGTGCATGAGTTCTTTTATTTAATCTGTGTTATTTTAATGTTTTTTTTACCAAAAAAACATAGAGACTCTGATGTTAATTTTCAAGCATTTCAGTGGGCTTAAACAGATAAAGCAGATTTAGTTCACAAACAACTGACAGCTTTGACCTAAATATGACGTTTCCATCCAACGAGTCAAAGAGAACAAAATCATCACTTCCTGATAAACGGGCACTATATATCACTAAGAAAAGTATTAGAAGCCACTGAATATAATAATTGTCATATATAATAAATAACTTGCGCCTCAGAGCGAGCTGATGAAACACAGTAAATGCGGTCATTGCTTTCAGAGGCGGATGTAGTCGTGTAGGAAAATTATGCAGAAATATTTTGATGACAGACTTTGCTCAGAGATTTCAGAATGACCATAACATTTCAGATGCTATGGAACGAGATCGGTCCGCTGGTTAATCAGGATTTGCCGTCCCACAGCACAAAGTCACATTACTTTTTTGATGTGCAGGGAGAACTGTATTCGGCAAATGTGTTTTCCTTTCTCTTTGGATTGTTACAAGCTGATTATGCATAGATAAGATCCCTGAAGTTGCAAAGACTAAAGTCTCAAAACCAAAGAGATATTCTTTATCAAAGTTAAGACTCTGCCACGCCCCCCTAAAACGGCTCTGTGTTGCCAGGTTCAAAGAAATCTGCCTTAAGGCCTTCAGAATCAACGTTGCAGCATCTGTTAGCTTAAATCAATGGCAATGAAACCGTTGCTTTAACCAGTCAGATTTCGAGTTGGCAGCACCAGGGCCATCTAGCTGGCTAACGATAACGATATCTCAGTTTCCCGAGTGGAGCTGTATGAACCGGTCTTTTCCTTCGACCGCAGCACCGCTGGCAGAGGCAGACCAGCGGGGAGATGAGAGTCACAGAGGTACGTTAAAACACATCTATACACTTTTCTTCATCGTCTTGTATGAATTATTTTGACTTAACCAAAAATTATGTGTATACAAAAAATAATGTGTATGAATCTGGAACAGTGGATTTATGTGCAGATTTGTGAATTTGTACTCTATATAGAACTGTATAAATAAGAGATATCCATATGTATTTACATAATACTTGAGAAAAAGGCAATAATTAAAGATGTAGAATGAACTACGGAAATGAATTACAGAACACAGGTAATGATTCATGTGTCAGCTGTTTAAGCTGGAGATGGCATTGGGGAAAAAAATGTTTTTATGCCTACACTCTTAAAAATAAAGGTGCTTCACGATGCCATTTAAGAACCTTTTTGTCTAAATGGTTCCATAAAGAACCTTTAACATCTGAAGAACCTTTCTGTTTCACAAAAGGTTCTTTGGGGCGAAAGAAGGTTCTTCAGATTATAAAAAGGTAAGAAAGAGATGGTTCTTTAAAGAACCTTTGACTGAATGGTTCTTTGTGGAACCAAAAATGGTTCTTCTATGGCATCGCTTGAAGAACCTTTTGAAGCACCTTTATTTTTAAGAGTGTAGATGTTCTAGAGCGCAGAGATCTGTAGCGTCTGCCTGAAGGGAGAAGTGCAAACAGGTTGTGTCCGGGGTGAGAGGGGTCTTTGATGATGTTACCTGCCCTGCAGTCCTGAAGACTGGGCAGGTGCACACCAATGATCCTTTCTGCTGTCTTAACAGTCCGTTGCAGTCTTCTTAAATCTGATTTGCTGGCTGACCCAAACCAGACAATTATAGAAGAGCACAGAACCGACTCAATAATAGCGGAGTAAAACTGTGTCATCTGTGCCTGTGGCAGGTTGAACTTTTTTTCAACTCAGGTTGAAAATTACATTTGAACCACTGATCACATGGACCGTTTTAACAACGTCTTTACTACCATGAACGGGCCTTGAACGTGTTCTGTTGATGTCTATGGAGGGTCAGAAAGCTCTCGGATTTCATCAGAAATATCTTAATTAATTTGTGTTCCGAAGATGAAGGTCTTACGGGTTTGGAACGACATAACGGTGAGTAATTAATGACAGACCAATTTTTGGGTGAACTATCCCTTTAAGGCAAGGCACCCCAGGTGAATAGGTTATGTATAATAATTGTAAATTAAAATTTGTGTGTATGTGGTTCATATCACCATACTAATGAGGCATTATCTAATTTAATATGCATTTAATATGCACTTATTTGCATGCATTTCCAGGACATAAGTATGAACATTGTGGATAAAGCAAGGTTCGAAATTCAGTCAAAATTTTTACAGAGGGGACTTGGATATCTCTCTTTATCACTCTGTAAAGCAGACAATTATGGAAGATTGTTTCTACCAAGGTATATATATATATATATATATATATATATATATATTTATTTATTTATTTTTAAGTTATTTTGAGTTTTATTTCACAATTCTGACACTTTCTTTCTTTTTTTGTCATTTTGACTCAGAGTTCTGAGTTTATATCTCAATTCAGAAATGTCTCGCAATTCCGAGGAAAAATTATAAGAATTCTCAGAATTCTGACTTTTGTGCAATTCCGACTTTACATCTCACAAATCAGTTTTTTTCTCTACTGAATAAAAAAGCTAATTGTGACTTTTTATCTTTGAATTCTGACTTTTGTTCTCAATTGCAAGAAAAAAGTCTGAATTGTGAGTTATACATTAAGAATTGCGAGAAAAAAGTATGAATTTCAATTGCCTTTTTACTTTTTTTTTATCCTGTGGCAGCAAACAAGCCTTCATAGAAAATACTCAACAGCTAGAAAAAAAAAAAAAATTATCATGTTTTTAGGAATAAAATGTATAAAATCAGGCAGATGATATGTGAACATACCCCTCAGTAAAACTGTATGTAAGTGCTGCTTAACTGAAGATTGCTCAGAAAAAAAAGAAACTGAGAAACGACCTTGAAAGGTATTGTAATTGAAAGCTAAAAATGTAAATAGATAATTGGCTATTTTTTTTTGCTGAGCTAGTCGCAAGGCTTTTTGACATTGCCTGCTTACAAAAGGTGATGTACATCCAAGCCAAAATAAGGCTTATAAATAGGGGTGCTCCGATCAGGATTTTTGAGGCCGATCACAGAAAGCAGTATCTGCCGATACGATCACCAATACCAATCTTTTTAAAGCCTTCTTTGTATCATGTAGAATTATTTATAGTGATACTCCAATCAGGATTTTTAGACATTTATTCAGTGCCTGGATTTCATTTTTGAAAATGGGGGAATTCCTCTCTTAGGTGACTCTTGTGAGGGTTTTTTTTTTAATTTGAGGGGTGGAGGGGGGCATTTTTTTAGACAAAAATGTTTTGCAAAAATTTATATATTTATCTCACCTAAATGTTTGATCATGCAGTGCATTTTTGTTTTTAATTTCCACAAACACAACATGTATCCATTATTTTGATTTAAAATCTAAACATTGTTACTGAAAATGCTTTTTCAGAATTGTGATTCTTTTTTTACACAGCAGAGTAATACAGTCTTTCATAGACGTGTTTAAACGCAAATAAATATAAGCAACACATAATTCCATGCTTTTTACTTTTGCATTTACTTCTAGATTTATATATTAAGTTGCTCTAGCAAGTGGCAAAACAGTCTAACTACTTTTCTTATGTTATCACAAACATTCTGAATTTAAAACTTACCACTGACAGAAACTGTCAGCTCTACTGACTATTCTTTTGCATTTAAATCTTTATTACAAACAATCTTGCGGTTAATAAGAACTTTGTTTTACTACCTCCATGATTTACCACAAATAATGCACTGTCGCGACTTTAGGGAAGTCGTGGCCTAATGGTTAGATTCGGACTTGTAACCCAAAGGTTGCGGGTTCGAGTCTCGTACCGGCAGGGATTGTAGGTTGAGGGAGTGAATGTACAGTGCTCTCTCACACCTTCAAAACCACGACTGAGGTGCCTTTGAGCAAGGCACCGAACCCCCAACTGCTCCCCGGGCACCGCAGCATAAATGGCTGCCCACTGCTCTGGGTGTGTGTGTGTTCACTGCTGTGTGTGTGCACTTTGGATGGGTTAAATGCAGAGCACTAATTCCTAGTATGGGTCACCATACTTGGCCACGTCACGTCACTTTTCACTTTAATTCAGCGCAGCGGAAGCGATCTCCGCACTGCTGCAGACGCACCGCTCCTGAACTCACTGCCAGACGCAACAGTGTGCAGTGTGAACGCTTTAATCCATTAACATGAGTGCGGGAGTGCGGGAAATACGCAATGCAAATGGAGTATGTGTGGACTTGGCGTTATGTGTGTGCGCTGCGAGTGTGCATGAGCACACAGTCTCCAAGAGAGCGCGCGAG